GACTCAGCCCTTCAGAGAAAATGATGAGCATATATTAAAATACAGTACTTAAAATTAATGATAGTACTCCTCCAATCTTTTATGAGGCAAAGTTCGTGTCACTTACAACACACACACACACACACACACACACTCTTTCACACATGCATGCACACACACACACTCACACACATGCTTTTAAAAGAAAGAACATGCTCCTCCTAAGGAATACTCATAATTCCATTAGAATTATTAATCAAAGTTATTTAGTGTTGGGAAACTATATGAGTTTTTTAAGTAAAGTAATATGATCTGTGTTTCTGTCTGAATTCCATGAAGATAGACAAAAAGGGCGAAAGTGTTTTAGCTTTCTATATCAAGCAATGTATTTAATTTGCTAACGAGTCTAAAAACTAAGAAAAAAATCTGAAAATTTAAATAGTAAGATATTTCTTTGCATTACTATAGTGATGCAGTTGTGTACAATGAATCAAAATTCATTCTGCTGTCATCTATACCTAATTAAAATAAATTCATTAATAAATAATAATAATAATAATAATAATAATTAAAAGCTATTTTTTGTGAACTCTTTGTATTTTATTCCACTAAAGAAGGAGACCTTCTGAATAAATTGAAGAATTGAATGGCTCCAATAACCTAGTTTTTTTTTCTGTTTTGTAGTAGGTTTTTGACTGAATTTATAAAGATGTCTATCAAGGCACGATTTCCACATTTAGCCTTTTAATTGGTGAAAAACATTCTGGCAAAATTTGTATGCACCCATTTTTTGTGAACTAAAAGGATTTGGAGTAAAAATTTGTTATATTTCAACTTTTTAATGAAATTCATGTCCTAATTTATATTATTTATTCTCACTGGGGTGTTAATAGACATTTATGCTCTTATGTAAATGAAGTAATATCAGTATTTAATTGTTATATGAGATCAGTGGTCCTTGCTTTATCTCTGTGAGTGAGGTCTTTCTGAAGCATGTTGTTTAACTTTCTTCTTAACCATTTTATTCTGTGGTGTTAAATCTTAATGTTCCTTTTCCTCTCTCAGTGACCTTTAACACCTTATATTTCAGCTTAAAAGAAATTAACATTAAGAAAGTTGCATTATTTTAAGAATGGGACAGCTTTAGATTTACTTTCTCTTATCTAAGGCATATGTAATTTTTCTTATTGATAAATTGATATTCTTAAACTTACTAATGAACAGAAAAAAGCTTAGATAAAAATGACATGACAAAAAAGTATGGCATTCATTTTTTCAAATCAAAGAAAATGAATGCAACATAAAGTGCTTTAACCATATGGTGACAAGACAGTAAAAGCAGAGCATTTAGAAACTGGCCGTTTTCAGTGAATTATAGATGATTTGTCTTCCTGTTCAAGCTCATGTATGGTAGCCTTCTACTGAAAACCTCACGTGACTGATCAGGTCCATGAGAGCTACATCAGCATTTTAATGAATGCATAATATTCACAGTAGAAGAAAGCCTACATTACCTGTTCCCATCTTTTTTAGCTTGTGATCTTGGTGTTAGTATGAAGTATACCTTTTTATTTTTGGAGATAAATTTAGCCAGTAAGAGAAAGCCAGTAACAGAAAGTGGCAGTGCGACATTTACCTCCATTTAGATTTTAGTGTAGACATTTTATTTGCCTAAAATTGAAGCATTTGTCTTTATGGAAAAAATGAAGTGCTTTATTAAAACTAATCAGTATAATCCTATGAAATAAAGTTACTAAACATCGATGTTAAGCTGAGGGAATTAGACACAAATGCTCTGGAGGGCAGAAGCCTTACGAACAATGTGGTCCTTCACTAAGCACAGCAGTTATTCCTAGTTTGTCCTACTTGGTTTCTTTTTTCTTTTTTCTTTATGACTTCAGAAAGAAGCCCTGAACTATTTTATTTCCTTATTTTGTATGTTACGACAAACTTGGGGGTTGTATTTAGTTTAGCTATGTGGTTTCTTGTGATGTAACTCTTCATCCTTCACCTCCTTCACAACTGGAAAAGTGACCCCCACTGCCTAGGATCTCCCCTGCTCAACTTCTTGAAGTCTGAGCAGGGCCAAAAGGTAATTCAGGGTTTACTCTTCAGCTTTACAACAGTCCTAGTTTCTTTTTCTTCTGTTGACATATGAGGAAAAGGAATCTACAATGTGTAGGTGATATATTTATTATCTATATATATCTGAACGTATGTCAGGGTGTTTTGGGTTTGATTTTTTTTTTTGTTAGAAGAGAATAATTTTTAAGTTTCCCATTTTAGAAAAGAAACAGCCTGGTTGGGTGGGGACACACCTGTAATTCCAGTGGTTCTGGAGGCTGCTGTGGGAAGATCACAAGTTCAAAGCCAGCCTCATCAACTCCTCAAGACCCTAAGTAGCTTAGCAAGATCCTGTCTCAAAATAAACAATTAAAAAGCATGATGGGGGCGGGGTCGCTATGAATGTGGCTCAGTGGTTGAGCACCCCTGGGTTCAATCCCAGATATATATAAAAAAGAAATAGCCAAGAGTTCTATAATATATTTCTAATCAAAAGATGCAGCCAGATTGGGGATACATGCCTATAATCCCAGTTATTCTGGAGACTGAGGCAGTTTAAGGCCAGCCTATGCAACTTAATGAAACCCTGTCTCAAAAACAAAAACAATAAAGTAAAATAAAAGGACTGGGTATGTAGCTAATAGTAGAGCCCTACTGGATTCAATCCCCAGGACCAACCACCAAAAAAAAAAAAAAATGAAAATTGAAAAGAAAAAAGAAAGAAATAGCATATTTATTTCCAACTCATTTTTATTATTGTTGAAATAATAATAATTAGAAAATTAGAAATGCACATATCTAGTGCTTATATATCATTTCATCTAACAAAAACTGAAGAAGTTAATAAATCACTTGGAGATAATTGATTTGTTTAATATTCCAAATCCTACTAAAGATGGTTCAAGAATTAGAACTCAAGACTAGCTGTATAAGATTGGGTCCAGTCAAGAGGCAAAAAATATGTAGTAATTTGAGCAAGAACAGTTTTTAACTATGACAGGGATTGAGGTAACTGTTATTATCTACTAAGGCATAAAAAAACTCTACAGAATTGAGAAAGGCAGGTATAGGTAGTAGCCACTCCAATTCTGTCTGAGGCAGAATACCTATGGAAAGAAGAAATTTTAAAGAAGGCCACTGGCTCCCACAATGAACTTATGTCAGGGTGTTTTCGTTTTGGAGGAGGTGTAGCTGTGGCTCAGTCAATGGTGGAGAATCTTCTGAGGGGACATGCTAGTTAGTTTCATGAAAAGTCCCTTTCTAGGGTTCTTGAGAAAACTGTCCCTAGGGAGATATCACACTATGGTGCTCACGGGAAACCCATTTATAGAAAGGTCCTGCACGTGGACCTCTCTAGGAAGCTCCCAGTGGTGGGAGAGGAAAGCTGTGTCCTGGAGGGTGCCAGGGAAGCTGCCATTCCTGGCTGGCCACTGTGTACCACAGGAACCTGCCAAAAGAAGCATCCAGAACCAAGAAGATCCCCTTCATTCTCTAGTTCACTTGACTGCCATTTGTGGTTGACACCTAAAATAATGCCACAGGCAGGTAAAAATGTCCTAGTCTCTCAGGTAAGGGAAGGTTGGATTTGGAGCTGTAAGATAATAGATTGATAGCTGACTCCATGCCAGTATCAGAAAATTGAAATCTATTTTCTTTCTTTTCTTTTTCTTTTTTTTTTTTTGGTATGAGGGGAAAGGGTGCCAGGGATTGAACTCAGGGGCACTCACCCACTGAGCCACATCCCCAGCCCTATTTTGTATTTTATTTAGAGACAGGGTCTCACTGAGTTGCTTAGCACTTCGCTTTTGCTGAGGCTGGCTTTGAATTTGAGATCCTCCCAAACCCCTGGGATTATAGGCATGTGCCACAGAACCAGGCTAGCAGAAATCTACTTTCTTAATCATTATACCATACTGTCTGTTACTTTACCAGAACATGTGACTTTTAACAAAATAAAGGCAAATAAGAGGAAAGGAAGGAAGGAAAACATAGCAAGATTTTAAATGGAGGTTTGCATTATCAGCCTATCTGTTGTCTTTGAAATCTTTCTTAGGTAGAGGCACTTTAATTGCTCAGAAGACTGACCCATTGAATTTTAAGGCACTGACTTAGCAACCAAAAATGGAAATTGTGAACTGGAGGTCCAAAGGCCATAGCCAAATTTTATTTTTCACTCTACAATTTAAATTGATTTTTAATTCCAGTTTTCACATCTAGTTAATGCAGGTCATGTTCAATTGACAAAGATTTGTTGGCAAATATCCTTAAATATCCATATCCTACCTGATGCATTTACAGAAAGATCTAAGCAAGTTAACTTCTCTGGGTCTCAGTTTCTTCACATAACAGAAACAACAATAACAGTACCTACTTTATTGGTACATTATGATAATTAAAAGTGTTAATATTTTTATGCACTTAAAGAAGTAATCTTTGTATCTAATAAGTGCTATATAAATGTTTGTCAGATTAAAAAAATCAATTACAGCATATACATTTTTATATTTTCTTAAAATCCATAGACTAAAATTATTAATTCTTTAAGTATTTCCAGTTTATGAAACTTTATGTTTAGTTATAACAATTTTGTCAGATTAATCTGATTCCATTGTTTCATAGCAATTAAAAATATATCATTATGTTATAGAATGTACAATGTGAATGCTGTTCATTGGTTATTTTAATTTTTTTCTATAGTTTTAGCAAAGTGGTAGCACTTGAAGATGATATTAGTAAAGCCTTTACTCTTTAATTTTTTCAAGGAATTATATGAACAGTAAGATTTTTGGCAAAGAAACTTTGATGACAGAAAATCTGTAGTTTCAATGTAACACTTAGTTTTCAAATCAGTAGCTTCTAATTTGCATGCCCCAAACTAAACATGTTAGATATACTGTAAATGTCTAAAACTTAAAAATTTCTGCTTTTATATTCTTTTTTTCCTTTTTTTTTCACAGATAAGTCACTAACACATCCTGAAGTGATCAAAAGGACCCAGGCAATTGAACTGTTATTTATGCTCTATCCTCCGAAAGGTGCCCATGTGGGCAACAAAGGCAGACTAAAGTCAACCTGGCTGAGACCCATAGTAAATGGAGAAGAAGGCTATAAATATATAGGTAAGATCTGCACTTGTTGTTTGTATAATGAGGAAATGATGCTTCGTGTTTGCTTACCTCTTGTTTATCACTTGGATGAGATTGGGTGTTACATAGTAGATTCCCTTTACTTCGTAGATATTATGTTTGCAATTTTAAAACTATCTATTTTGTATTTTGGTGCCTTTGCAGAATTTTGGAAGCACAGTATATATACCCATTCACCTGTTGATGGACAGGGATTTTTTACTTTTGGATTACTAGAGGTAAAGCTGCTATGAACCTTCAGGTTCAGAATTTTGTGTAGACGTGCTTATGTTTCTCTTAGCTACCTTGTTTTCCAAATTGATCATACCGTTTCATGTTCCCCCGTGTGCAGAGAGGAGTTACTTCTTTTCCACAGCTATATTAAGCCTTACATAATCAGTCTTTCTAATTTTAGCCGATATAATAGATACATGTGTTTGGTATCCCATTGTGGTTTTAATTTGAATATCTCTAGTAAATAATGAGAGTTGGCATCTTTTGAAGTATTTGTTACTTATGTGTCTTCTTTGGTGAAGGGTCTGTTCATAGCTTTTGGCTATTTTATAATATTTAGGATCGTTATTAAATTTAGAGGGTCCTTTAGATATTCTGGGTACAAATCCTTCAGTACATATGTGCTTTGCAAATATGGTTTATCTTTTCTTTCTTTCAATAGTATTTTTTGAAGAGAAGTTTTAAATTTTGATGAAGTCCAATTTATCCTGTATTTCTTTATGGTTTATATTTTTATCTTAAAAAAATTTGGCCAGACTTGGGGTCACAAAGGTATTCTTCTAGAAATTTTGTAATTTTAAATTTTATATTTCAGTGTACAATTGGTTTTGAGTACATTTTTGTACATGATTCAAATCATAGATTGAGAATTTGTTTCTATATAATTATTTTTTTTCTGTTCCCCTTTCCTTTATTGTTTTTTTTTATTTTTTTAATTTTTTTTATTATTAGTTGTTCAAAACATTACAAACCTCTTGACATATCATATTTCATACATTTGATTCAAGCAGATTATGAACTCCCATTTTTACCCCATATACATATTGCAGATTCACATTGGGTCCACATCCACTTTTTTACATATTGCCATACTAGTGTCTGTTGTATTCTGCTGCCTTTCCTATCCTCTACTATCCCTCTCCCCTCCCCTCCCCTCTCCTCCCATCTTCTCTCTCTACCCCATCTACTGTAATTCATTTCTCTCTCTTGTTTTTTCCCCTTACCCCTCACTTCCTCTTATATGTAATTTTGTATAACAATGAGGGTCTCCTTCCTTTACCATGCAATTTCCCTTCTCTCTCTCTTTCCCTCCCCCCTCTCGACCCTGTTTAATGGTGATCTTCTTCTCATGCTCTTTCTCCCTATTCTGTTCTTAGTTACTCTCCTTATATCAAAGATGACATTTGGCATTTGTTTTTTAGGGATTGGCTAGCTACACTTAGCATAATCTGCTCTAGTGCCATCCATTTCCCTGCAAATTTCATGATTTTGTCATTTTTTAGTGCAGAGTAATACTCCATTGTGTAAAATGCCACATTTTTTTTTATCCATTCATCTATTGAAGGGCATCTAGGTTGGTTCCACAGTCTAGCTATTGTGAATTGTGCTGCTATGAACATCGATGTAGCAGTATCCCTATAGTACGCTCTTTTAAGGTCTTTAGGGAATAGTCCGAGAAGGGCAATAGCTGGGTCAAATGGTGGTTCCATTCCCAGCTTTCCCAGGAATCTCTATACTGCTTTCCAAATTGGCTGCACCAATTTGCAGTCCCACCAGCAATGTACAAGTGTACCCTTTTCCCCACATCCTCACCAGCACTTGTTGTTGTTTGACTTCATAATGGCTGCCAGTCTTACTGAAGTGAGATGGTATCTTAGGGTGGTTTTGATTTGCATTTCTCTGACTGCTAGAGATGGTGAGCATTTTTTCATGTCCTTGTTGATTGATTGTATGTCCTCCTCTGAGAAGTGTCTGTTCAGGTCCTTGGCCCATTTGTTGATTGGGTTATTTGTTATCTTATTGTCTAATATTTTGAGTTCTTTGTATACTCTGGATATTAGGGCTCTATCTGAAGTGTGAGGAGTAAAAATTTGTTCCCATGATGTAGGCTCCCTATTTACCTCTCTTATTGTTTCTCTTGCTGAGAAAAAACTTTTTAGTTTAAGTAAGTCCCATTTGTTGATTCTTGTTATTAACTCTTATGCTATGGGTGTCCTATTGAGGAATTTTATCCAAAATTTCCAGTAGTATTTATTGAAAAGACTTTCCCCCTTTGAATTCACTGAACTTTGTAAAAACTAAATAGAACAAGAAGGTATGTGGTTGGCTAATAACTACATGAAAAGGTAATTAACATCATTAGTTACTAAGGAAATACACATCAAAATCATAGTGAGATACCATTACTTATCTATTAGGAAGGTTAAAATTAAAAAAAAAAAAACTTTACATCTAACAATACCAGGATTGGAAGGATATGGAGATTGTGTTGCTAGTGGGAATTCAAGATAGTACAACTTCCTTGGAAATATTTTGGTACTTTTTAAATAAAATTAAAGAAATTTTAACCATAAAACTTAGCCATCCTACTCCTAAGTAATTACTTAAGATTAATGAATCATTTTTGTACACAAAAACCTACACATGAATGTACATAACTGAGTTATTAACTACCAGATGCTGGAAATAACACAAATGTTCTTCAGCGGGTGAATGGATAGACAAGATTTGTTCATCCATGCAAATGGAATGCAATAAGCAGTAAATTAGCTCTAAATAAAAGGGAGGTCAACTTCACTTAGCATTATTCTCTCCAGTGCCATCCATTTACCTGCAAATGCCATGATTTTATTCTATTTTATTGCTGAGTAAAATTCCACTGTGTATAAGTGCCACATTTTTTTTTATCCATTCATCCACTGAAGGCCATCTAGGTTGACTCCACAGTTTAGCTATTGTGAATTGTGCTGCTATAAACATTGATGTGGCTGTGTCCCTGTAGTATGGTGTTTTTAAGTCTTTTGGGTATAGACCAAGAAGAGGGATAGCTGGGTCAAATGGTGGTTCCATTCCCAGCTTTCCAAGGAATCTCCATACTGCTTTCCATATCGGCTGCACCAATTTGCAGTCCCACCAGCAATGTATGAGTATACATTTTCCCTACATCCTCGCCCACACTTATTATTGTTTGTCTTCATAATAGCTGCCATTCTGACTGGAGTGAGATGATATCTTAGAGTAGATTTGGTTTGCATTTCTGTAATTGCTAGAGATGGTGAACATTTTTTCATATATTTGTTGATTGATTGTAAGTCCTCTTCTGAGAAATGTATGTTCAGGTCCTTGGCCCATTTGTTGATTGGGTTATTTGTTTTTTTGATGCTTAGCTTTCTGAGTTCTTTATATACCCTAGAGATTAGTGTTCTAAAGGCCGAATGTTTTCTCTGATATAAGGAGGCTGACTCATAGTGGGGTAGGGAGGGAGAGCATGGGAGGAATAGACAAACTCTAGATAGGGCAGAGGGGTGGGAGGGAAATAGAGGGGGCAGGGGATTAGCAAGGATGGTGGAATGTGATGGACATCATTATGCAAAGTACATGTACAAAGACACAGATTGTTGTCAACATACTTTAGATACAATCAGAGATATGAAAAATTGTGCTGTGTATGTGTAATAAGAATTGTAATGCATTCTGCTGTTATTTATTTTTTTAAAAAATCAATAAAAAAGAATGGACAAAAAAATAAATAAAAGGGAGGGAAGGATTGACAAACACAGCAACATGAATGAATCTCAAATGCACCATGATAAGTGACAGTGAAAGAAGCTGGATTCTGAGGCCATGCCCTGTACGATTACATTTAAGTGATAGTTTGGAAAAAACAAAACTGTAGGAGCAAACATCAGGCCTGTAGTGCCCAGAATTTAGGGCTGGTGGTTGGGGGTCTGCTACAAAGAGGGGATTCTAAGACTTGGAGGAGCTGTTCTGTATCTTGATCACACTAGTGGTTGTACAAAGTCAAAACCCATAGAACTGTACACCAAAAGTAGTAAATTTTATTGCCCATAAAAATTTTAAAAATTAAACCCAAAATAAAAATAAAATTTCAACCATTGGCCAGCATCTCCATAAAAGATGTATACATCATTTGTAATTAGGGAAATATAAATTAAACCACAATGAGATATCACCACACGACCTACCCAGAGGGCTCAAATTTAAAATACTGGCCATACTAAGTATTGGCAAACATGTGTAGCTACCAGAACCCTAATATTCTCTCACTGAAAAATGTAAAATAGTACAAACTTTGACACAATATTTTGGCACTTTCTTAAAAAATTTAACATACACCTGTCACACAACCTGATCACTACACACCTATTTATCTATCAAAAACTTTATTTTTTATTTATTCAAAAACTTGTGAGTAATCCTAGAATCCATTATTGTAAAAGAATCAAACTAGAAACAACTAAAATGACAGAAGAATTGATAAGCATGTTGTAATATTTCCATGTAGAACACTAAGACATAAAAAGAAAAAATCTTGATACTATTGACACAGACAGTATCTATGAATTCTAACATAATTGTGCTAAGTAAAAGAAGCCAGATGAAAGAGAGCACATACTGTATGATTTGTTTCTATAAAATTGTAGAAAATGCATACTAACTCATAGTGATAGAAGGCTTGTGGTTGTATGGTGATGGGGGTTGGGAATGGGAGTAAGGGACAATTAGGGTGATGGAAATGTTTGTCAGTTTGATTGTGGTAATGGTTTCATGGATGCACACATGCCAAAATTCATCACATGATACACTTTAAATATATGTAGTTTGTTGTTTCTCATTTATACCTCAATAAAGCTATACAATAGTGAAGCTTTTGTTTTGGTCATATTTTTGAAAGAGATTTTTCTCTTTCAGTTTTAAAACTTGCATGCTAGACATGATTTAAAGAGGGTCATGAGTTG